GAATATCAAGCAATAACAAAATCATTTGAAATACCTAATATATCATCAACTCAATTGCAAAATCCAAATAATAACCTTCAAGTGGTTAGAAATTCTGCAATTGTTAAAAGAATATTATTGCCAGACAACCAAGAAATCGCGTGTAAATCTTACTCAAATGATTTCTCACAAGTTCAAAATACTTTAGAAATTTTAATAAAATCAAGTGTTTGTCCAAAAATCCTCAAATTCTACGGAATTTCAAAGAATAATTACCAACTGATGGGTCAAAATTATATGATTTTTGAATGGGCTGAAATGGGCAGTTTAAAAGAAGTTTATGAGCAATATTCAATACCTTGGACCACTAAAATATCATTCGCATTGGATATTTTTCGAGCAATTTTATTTTTAGATTTCCATACAATATTTCATCACGACATACGCTGTGAAAATGTTCTGGTAAAAAAAAGTATTCAACCCTTTTTTTTTGGTGACCAATATAGTTAATACTTTTTCATGTTTTCATAGGTAACCAATGAATTGGAACCTAAACTAGCAAACTTTCATTTTGCAAGAATGAAAGATGATGTGACTACTTTTATTAACCAGGATCGGGAAAGTTTACGTTGGATGGCTCCTGAAAAAATGTTACATTATGAGAAAGAAAATATTGTTCGCTATACTTACCAATGTGAATTATTCAGGTATGAACTCGAAATTTATGTTACAATATTTTCATTTATCCTGATCCTATGGTCCTACTGTATAGCTTTGGAATGCTATTATGGGAATTAGCATTTGAGAAGACTCCTTATGAGAACATGAAATTGGATGATGTAATTTCTCATGTCACCAATGGAAGAAGGGAAGAAATTCCTGCCTACTCATCAGATAAATCAGAGGATTATGAAATTTATCAAGAATTTGTAAGAATTATTAAGACCGGTAGGTATTCTATTTTTCACTGTTATATGACTCATACATTTTAAATATTTAGACTAATAGATAAAACTTTCTAAAAGTATGGGCACATAGGCCGGAGGATAGAATTAGCCTTAGTAAATTA